CCTATACTTCTGCTTTAGGCCTAGGTATTCCAGTTGAATAATCCACAACACTACACAAATCCAGATATACTATACTACAAGTCTTGACTTAGAAATATCTACAGAATTTAACAGTTTTAACCACTTAACAGTTTATCCCCAGCATCACTTGGGTACCACATTGACATACTAACTTTCTCAAGTATTGCTGGGCAGATGTCATTTCAATCAGTTGATTCTTGTTTTGAATAAATTTGATGAAATTATCATTTTTATATTTCCTGTTATATAATCTTATAAAAATTAATGAAAAGTATACAACTTGGAGTCATTCTATATTTAAATAACTGAACCACTAAGTAGTTAAGATGATTTCTTAGGGGGCCGGGGAGATGGCTCAGTGGAATAAACACTTCCCTGGCAAGCGCAAGGGCCTGAGTTCAATCCCTGGCTCTGCCCCCAAAAAAAAAAAAAAGATTTCTTAGTAAAACCAACTCGCTGGACAATTAGTAAATGTGATGTAGGAATCTTTTTATCCTTTTGGGGGGCATGGACCAATAGAAATGCATTAATTTTGTATTTCAGGGATATTAAATAGATCAGTGACAACCAAGTCCTGGCTTTTGGCCTTTAAGAAATGGAAACACATTGTAAACTACATCATGAGACAATGCAAGGTATAATGATACTACAAGCTAAAGTAGCAGAAATACATTATATGTGCCCTGCCTGTCACATTCCCCAGACTTTCAATAAACACTTCAGAATCATCCACAAGAAGCCACTCTACATTAAAGAACCTTTCCACTATTTCCCTTAAATATCTAGGGCAAACTCTTACAGCATTACTGCAACAGTTTGGGGTAGAGATAAGAAAAATGATACCAGATTCTGGACAGGTTATAGGTAATGCCTGCTTAGACAGTTTTTAGTAACTGGTTTGTGCTCTTGGATGTCTGAGTTTTAGTGAGCCCATGTGGTTGGAGTGCTCCACTATCCTCAAGTTTGGCACTTCTTAACTTCCTCTCTCTGGATTTAATTCCATGGGAGACTATTATCTGACCATGAAAAACGGCAGAGCATAGAAGGCAGCTTGATAAGTGTGCTGACCAGATGTTTGATCATATCTTCTCTCTTCTTCCATCTTTGTCTTTTACCTCTCAGTCATGAACTGTCTTTATAGAAAGGCCTGTTCCAAGACAACGTACATCGTTCTCTACCTTTTCATCCTCCACTGGCAGTATAGTTACAGGCTATGGAATACAAGATACTTATATTCCAGTTCTAGCTCTGACATTTACTATTTATAAGATCTAAGTAAGTTACTTAATCTCTCTGAACTGGGTTTCCTCATCTGTGAATTGAACTGAGTATCAGTATCACAAGGGATTGTTCTGAGATATTAGATAACATACACAAAGCACAAACTACAAAGGAACAAGTGTTCAGACAATTTTAGTTTCTCTGTTCCCAACTCAGGGAGATTTTAAAGACGAAGTGGTAAAAAAAAAAAAAAAAAAAAAAAATGCTCAGTCTCATCAAACCAAATATATCAATAAACCTTAGAATGAGCGATAGAGCAGTTTTATTCAGTAGTGCCACTGGTTTCTGAAATAACCTAGGTTGAACCACAGACTGAGTGATCAATAGTATTTTAGCAAATAGCTACTTCAGATTGAACACTGATTACTGAATTATGATAAAGAAAAACAATTATAAAAATATTACAAATATTTGGTGGGGATGGTGCACTTTTCAGTGTAAGCTGGCAGTGTGGACAAATCATATCAAGGAAGAAAAGCGCAAGAACAACTTGAGAGGCCTGGGGATATAGCTCAGTGGCATATGTACCTGGCTAGCAAGCACAAGGTCCCAAGTTTCATGCCCAGTACCGCAAAAACAACAACAACAAAAAGCAACTTGAAAAACCTCACTGACTTCCTGGTAAATGTACTTTTCTATTTGTACACTTTACTTCAATAATAGAAAGTTAAAATGCAACATCCAGAAAGTCAAAGGAATAACTTCCTTTTTTACAAGCATGGGGAATATTTTCTTTTTTTTTTAAAGAGGAAAAAAATTCAAAACAAGATAATCGGAGGATAACAATGATTAATATGATTAATATGTTGAGTATTGTTATCTTTAAATTAGTTACTCAGAGGACAAGATCAGCATTTAATTGTCCAAACATACTAGCATAAACCTTTCTTTTTAATGGCTAAGATAAATTAGTTTTTTTTTCTTTTCCCTTTCTTTTCTCCATTCCTCCATCCCAGTTTCTCTTTCTTTTTGAAGTTTTTTTTTTTCCATTTTACAATATCTATTGTGCATTTTTTATCTTATTTACTTTTTCAGCTTCTCACACTAGGAGACAGTATGACATTTACACACGTGCATCTGATTTATTTCACTTACGAGTATGGTCTCCAGTTCCATCCATTTACCTATAAAAGTCTCTATTTTATCCTTCCTTGTGGCTGAGTAGTACTCCATTCCTCGGTTGACGGGCATTTGGGTTGTATCCAAGATCTAGCTATTACAAATTGTACTGCTATCTATAATCATGGGTACACATATATCTCTATGGTACAATGTTTTTTAATTCTTCTGAGAAGACACCCAGAAGGGGAATAGCTGGGTCAAACGGAACTCCCAAGCCTAGTTTTCTGAGGAATCTCCACACTGATTTCCCCAGTGGTTGCACCAGTTTACACTACCACCAACAGTGGAGAAGGGTTTCTTTTCTCCCACGTCTCCTCCAGCATTTGTTATTGGCTGACTTTTTGATAATAGCCATTCCTTCCAGGGTGAGATGAAATCTCAGTGTTGTTTTCATTTGCACCTCTCAAATGACCAGTGACGCTGAATATTTTTTCATATTATTACTTGCTGTTTGTATTTCATCATTTGAGAAGTGTAGGTATATTTATGTCAGATGACCATTTTTGGATTGGGTCTTTAAATTTGGGGGGGGGTCTGATTTTGTTAAGTTCTTTATATGTTCTTAATAGTAATCCTTTGTCTAAGGAATAACTGGCAAACTGTGGCTGTCTCTTCCTCCTGTTGGGGTTTTCTGTAGCTATACAGAAGCTTTTTATTTTTTTATTTTTATTTTTTGGTATTTCTGAATATTTATTTGGTACAGGGTCTCACTATGCAGCTCCTGTCTTAGCTCCCAAGTGCTGGGATTAAAGGTGTGCTCCACCACATCAGGTTTTGGTG